CAGGCCACTCCAAGGTCCACAGCCATGACCAAGGTCTGTATGCCTCCTATTCGTGCATGAGTGGGTGAGACTCCTTCTGGGAGTATATATGGGTCTTTGTCATTCTTTACATGTTTATGGAGAGAGGAGTCCTAGCTTTTATGAAATACCTAAAGAGATCTGCAACCCTCAAAAAGTTAAAAGCCACTGCTGTTGAGTTTTTATCTTCCTATTTTATCAGAAATGGTTGCTTAACTTTATCAGCTATTGCTTAGAATTCATTCTTCATTCAACATTTATGAATTTTCTACTTTATGTCCAACAGCAATCAAGGAATTTAACAACATAATCATGTTTCCCCCCTTTTTCTTATAAATATAATGGAAAATATTAATGTTTCATAAAATTGATATTCCTAGACTAAATCCTACATGGCCATTGTAAATTATTATTTTATTATGTAGTTAAAAACCATTTGCTAACATATTGAGGGTTTTTGAATCTTTATTAACCAGTGAGTTAGTATGTAAATTTTTGGTGGTATCTGACTTTTGGGTCAGATTCAGACCAAGATTTTAAATAAATAAAATGAACTTGGATACTTTCAATTTTTTAATGCTAAAGAACAGTTTAAATAGTATGGAAGTGACTATAGTACTATGAACATTTGATGAGTTTTATTGGCAGAGACTTTTGGGTCTAGCTTCTTTCTGAGGAATAACTCTTTGACTACTTTGCCATGGTCTGTTCAGATTTTATGATACTCAGAGCCAGTTTTGCTTATTTACTTCTTGGAAACAATCACTATTTAAAGAAGTTACTACAAATATCAAATCATTCACCTATAATTTTAAAAAATCTTAAAGCCACATATACTTATTATTTTTCAAACATATGTATATACTATTTTGATGGACAAAATACATTTATGTAAAAGTGTTTACATTCATAACTTTGTCATGTATTATTTGATCAACAGTAAAATATTATGATGTTCAAGATGTTCTTGATATTTACAACGAGTTTCCATTCAGGAAAAACTCTAGGGTTTCACTGTATTGCTTTGAGATGGATATTCTTAATCATAATTATCTGTTTCATTGACAGTTTTTTAATGGAATGTGTGTTAAATGTTTCCAAGGACCATTTTGGCATCAGTTGAGATTATGGTGTGCTTTTAAAAAACAGCACTTACTAAATGATTTCTTATAACAATGAGGTTTCCTGCCATTAACTTCATTTTTGCATGTTCAGAATAAATATATTAGCGGTGGCTTGTGATTCTCTTAATATTGCAAAATTTAGTTTGCTAGTATTGTATTTGAAATTTTGGTATTTGTGTTTGTGTGTAAGGCTC